AAAAATTATCTTATTAGATATTAATATATATATTTTTTTGAACATTTTGACACGGGCGGGTTCAAAACCCACCCAAGAGAAGGGGAATGTACCTAGCAAGCTGGCTAATGCCAGTTGTGCTATTAGATATTAATATTTAGATTTAATATAGTCATAATATATAATCTATTTGTCTAAGTGAAGATAGGCCTATGGGCCATGTCCAAGAGAGGTATCTAGGCCCGACATATCAATAACAAATAAGTTCAAGACCATTTTAAAACCACGGCTCGGCCCATTGAGCGACCACAGCCAACCGTTGGCGATAAGGAGCGAAGGTTGGTGAAGAGAGCTACTCTGAGGGGCTCGCCATGGAGGTCCTCACGAGCTCTTCTGCTGCTTCTGTTTCTCCCCGTTTTCGCTTCTCTATCCCCAACAGAACCTCCTGTTCCGGTTTTCAGTTCAAGCTCGGCACCGATTCTCAGGTACCCTTGTTTCGCAGCATTTTATATTTTGTTTTCTCCTTCACTTTTTCGCCTTCCAGTTTCTCTTCATTAAGCCTTTTTTTTGAAGAATTCGGAAGCTCAAATGATGATAGGAAGCTGAAAGTCCCTTTTTTTTTTTTAATTGTTATGGTGGGTCGTAATTTGATCCCTTTTGCATAATTGTTCGAGAGTTTTAAGGTAACATGATGCGAAACATGGGACTATAAGATGGTTGCTTGTGTCAAAACGTCATTGAAATCCTTAGATTAGTATCATGTTAATTTACATCAGTATATGTCTGTCTAATTCTTGATAATTTGGGAAATATTGTTTCTTTTAAAATGGGTTTTTATTTTTTTTAAGGATTATGGTCTATGAACCATGCAGTCTGCCCAATTCTATCTTTTAGCTAAATTTCCTTCAAGCAATTTGCTTTTTTAGTGGATCATGATACTGGTATCATGGTCATGGAGAGCCATTATGGGTTGTAGTTTGAACTGAAATTTTTGGAGGTGCAGCAATGGAAATCTTTGTCTGTAAGGACCATGGAAGCTCAATTATGGAGTCCAGTATTGTGTATAACAACAAGTATCAACATGTCTGGAAGTTGCATCTGCTCTACACTTTCCAAGCGGAGGTTCTTGCTTTCTAGATTTTCATCCAAGTACCGTTGGTTTTCTGTGAGTTATGGATTATGTCTTAAATCCAAGAAACATAGAGGCAGTTCTCAAAGCCAAAAGGTGATGAATTGTTCAGAAAGGATTAGACAGCATGTATCTGTTGTTTTTGTTGGCTTCTTTACAACTATGCTGCTTGTTACTTCAGTATCTCTTGCAGTTAGCAACATGCCCTCTTGTGAGTTCAATTTTTTTTAAAAATAAATTATTTACGTGGAACTTTATAATATCAAGGTTTCCATGGTTTACATTTCATCCTAACTCTTGTTTGTCATCATCATTCAGGGGCTCTATCTGAAGAGAATCTCCTATTCTTAGAGGCATGGCGGACAATAGACCGTGCATATGTTGACAAATCTTTCAATGGACAAAGTTGGTTTCGGTACAGAGAAGATGCACTACGAAATGAACCAATGAACACACGAGAAGAGACATGTACATGATCTCTCTTCAGTAATCATCTCTTTTATTACTCTACTTTGTGTAACCTAATTAAAATGATATTGAAATAAAGGGATCTTTAATTGGATTAGGATGCATTGTTCTGTCTATTTGCTGATCAACTTTCGCTCAACTGTTTGATATGCAATTTGGATAATTATGCTGCTCTTACCTTAACATGCATTCAACTTCCTCGTATAAAGGCCTATATTAAGATAAATTATAGTATGAATGACATTCTTCCACAATATGTATGCTGCTTTTGTTGTCATCCAAACATGGATATAGGAAACTTTTTTACTTGATCCCTAGGACCAACATAGATTAAGGTACAAGCCCTTGTCAATTGTACTGTGATGATTTCTATTTGATAGTTTTTCATTATAATTCTAGGTTCTCATTGTTTGTTTTGCATACATACATTTTCTTAGAATTAAGCATATAATTGCAAATGCAGCCTTGTTGGTCAAGAATATCTGATTGTACATCTGAAGTTTGTGTGCAGACGTGGCCATAAGAAAGATGCTTGCTACACTAGATGATCCTTTCACTCGGTTTCTAGAGCCTGAGAAATTTAAGAGTTTGCGGGTATGAGGCTGTTTCTTCTTACATTTTACATTTGCCTATGGTGCCTTCCAATTTGAATAGCAGAGGTGCTGTTTTTCCAAGTTCAGATATGTTAGTGTTTGCTTTGCATGTTTTTATTATAATAAGCTATTCTCCCTAAAATCTGTTAACATCTTCATTGAAGGCAGTCTGGAACTCAAGGGGCTCTTACTGGTGTTGGGCTTTCAATAGGTTATCCTGTGGGATCTGAAGGATCAGCTGCTGGACTTCTTGTCATTTCAGCAGCTGCAGGAGGTCCTGCAGATAAGGCTGGCATCTTATCTGGGGATGTTATCTTGGAAATAGATGATAAGAGTACAGAAGGCATGGGTATATATGATGCAGCAGAGAGATTGCAGTAAGTATCACCATCTTTTTTACTTATAAGTCTCTTAAACCAGATCAGCATTTTGGTAGGTTATTTAAAGAGCATTAGCGTTCTGGTCCCTGGGATTTTTTTATTGATGGTGCTTGGATGTGAAATAGTTCTCCACAAGGAAAAAATATTAATTTATGTGATGATTTTCATCTGTAGTCAATTCTTATTATGATTAGTCAGAAATCTGGTTGAGCAATGTCTTCAGAGGCAGAGTTCTCCCTTCTATGTGTTAATGGCAGCATCTTGCAAACTGAGCTAACTTTTAAAGCATGACTTGTTATATCAAGCATGCACATCAAGTTTCAAAAATTATTAGGCTGTTGATTAGAGCAGGGCTGGTCATATACTTGAACATATTTTTGACAACTGTAATAGGCCTGTTTGTATCACAGTGTGTATTGTTAGAGGCTGTTATTTAATTATTTTTATCTTTCTTTTATAATTTGAAATAAATAAATAATATTAATAAAAAAATGCATAAAAGCTCTTTACATTGATTATTGGCACAAAGATTAACTAATGGTAGAAATCCTTTCCATTTCCCCTGACTGCTCCTCTCATGTTTGTTTTTCCCATACTGCTGCTTTTCTCAATTACCTATCAATATGGGCAACTTTTTTAAAAAAACTACAGGGGACCTGAGGGAAGTTCAGTGGAGATAACAATTCGCAGTGGACCTGAAGTAAAGCACCTAGCTTTGATGTAAGTTTGCTGTTCTGATTGTATCTCTTGAGGTTGCATTTGAGCTCCATATGCAAGTAAACTTTATTTGAAGTCTCCAAATGTTAATTGGTGCTGCATTTCCAAACGGGCTTGACCTGTATTATTATTACCCTCTGCAGTGGGGTCAGCTAGTATACAATCAGCATATGCTTTTGTTTTTCCTTTTAAATGTTGAAAGACTTAGAATTAGCTTTTGCTACTTTCCAGGCGAGAGAAAGTATCGTTGAATCCTGTTAAGTCAAGACTATGTGAGATTCCTGGCAAAGGGAAGGACTTCCCCAGAATTGGTTATATCAAGCTAACATCCTTTAATCAAAATGCTTCTAGTAAGTGGCAATACTGAATATTTTTTTAAGGAGTTGCATCGCTTCTCTGGGCTTTCTGGAGTTAGTTGTCATGCTAAACTTTCGGAGTTAGCTCAGTGAATTTTTATTTTCCTCTGGTGATCCGATCTCTAGTATTCTTTCAGATAGACTTAGAACTTGGACATTTATTTTCTCATCTTTCTAAAGTTTTTATAATACTACTCTGAAATGACTCAAATGAGCCAATAAATTCCAAAAGTGATGCTACTCTGATGTAGTTCTTTTACTGATTTCTTTTCTCTAGCCTATTATATTTTAGTCTGAATGTTTGCATTTTCTGTAGCTGCCGTCCGGGGAGCAATTGATACATTAAGGAATAATGGTGTAAATGCCTTCATCTTAGACCTTCGAGATAATAGGTGACTCCTAACTTTGGACTTGCTCAATTTTGACCTTGCTGGTATAATAGGCTTTGCTGAAAGGCTAAAATTTGCTGCAGTGGTGGTCTGTTCCCAGAAGGAGTTGAGATTGCCAAGATGTGGTGAGTCCAACCAAAGGTCTTGTAGCAAACATTTTATAATTCTGCAGTAGTGGTCTATATATTTCTGTTCCAAGCATGTGTGCATTATGTATATGTAATTTGAGTTTGTGACAGCTCTGGTTGAACTATTTTGCTAAATCATTATAGCTTATTTTTTTAAAGAAAAACTTACTTTGTGTGTGTGTGTGTGTGTGTGTGTGTTACTGTTCTAATGAAGTAGAATTTAGGATACCGATACATATACTCTTCAAAAGTTACACACTGACGGTTTCTGTTAGTATACCATTAAAATTGATGAAAACTATTAGTTTTAAGGTAAAAATAATTAAAACAGTTAGTTGTAACAGCACAAGTAACGGAAACCGTCAATTTTAATGGCACACTAACGGAAATTGTTAGTGCGTAATGGAGTGTGTAACTTTTTTGTTTATCAATTGTATATCTATCCACTTGGAGGTTCTTAAAAGACATCTAATATTATCATTTTTTGGTGTTGTAAAACGAAGCTCTTAAATACTCCTACTTAAGCCTCACATAAAATTTGATTTCTTTTGTTTGCCACAAAATTTCTTGGCATGAATGATTATGATGAGCTGTTGCCAATAAAGGTTGGACAAGGGAGTGATTGTGTACATTTGTGATAGCCGTGGTGTTCGAGACATTTATGACACAGATGGAAGCACTGCAATTGCAACTTCAGAACCCCTCGCCGTGCTGGTATACTTTCTATAATCTTTGATATGTATGAGAATCATATATTGGATATCCTAGAGGTTAAATTTCATGTCTTCGGGTCTATTCCTTCAGCCCTCACGTCCCATCTAACCAATGGCCATCCCCACTCATTTTTTGGTTTCCCTTTTACAATATTTAATTTATTTTCTCAGTGTCAAAACATTCTGACCGTTAGCATTGGGAGCACATGGCTAAAATTTTCTCCTTCTTTGTGGATGGCATATTTTATTTCTGGAATCTCTTCTAGTTTTCTTGTTTAGGATGAGGGGAGGTGGGAAGGGAATGGGAGAATGATTCTTAATGATTAAAGAATTTCATCATCTAATCTTTCATCAGGTAAACAAGGGAACTGCAAGTGCCAGTGAAATATTGGCAGGCGCACTGAAAGACAATAAGCGTGCTGTGTTATTTGGAGAACCAACATATGGAAAAGGGTATTTGCTTTTCCTTCAACAGTATGAATGATTACCATCATATTTTGCAAAGTCTGATCTGAGACATGTGTTCCACTTTGCAGCAAGATTCAGTCAGTTTTTAGGTTATCAGACGGCTCTGGCTTAGTAGTCACGGTTGCTCGTTATGAGACACCTGCTCATAATGATATTGACAAGGTCTCCACTGCATCCTGCTGTGAGCGTATGCATGCATATCTGTTTCTATCTCAGATCCATCGCTCACCACTCTTCTTTGACCTTCCTCTTATGCAGATTGGTGTAATTCCAGACCATCCTTTACCAACATCATTTCCAAAGGATGAGGAAGGCTTTTGTGGCTGCCTAAAGGACCCTGCATCTGCTTGCTACCTCAAGGGAGGCCAGCTATTTTCTGGATAACAGTTTCAGTGTGCAGTTAACAACATTATGTTGAAGACGACCCAATTGTTTCTCTGATTGACATTTTTTGTGGTAGTTTATTTCTTTTTTCGTTTTCAATTGTAAGATTTATTTGATTTCATTAACCATGATAATCAATTGAAAAGATTTTATATCAGACCGAACTCTGAAGTCTTAATCTTTATACATTTCTTCCTGAACTTTGAAAAGTAGCTAATTGTGAAAATGAAATCAATCGTATACGAGAAAATTGTGTAGTTGACACAAACTATAACATTGTAGCATGAATCTGACCTAAAGTACCTGATGAGGAAAGAATTATAGGGGCAACAGCAATACAAGAAACCTTAAACCTTCTCAATTCTGTGGCTAAGCCAAAATGTTGGTAAACAAAGATGTCATGCTTTAACTTGAAGCTTGTCTGGCAGAATCACCAAAACAACTTTGTCCAAGAACCTAAAAATGGGAAAACTGCAATCAATAGTCTCAGCAGTAAGGGTGCATCACTTCTTCTACCTTCCATACTTAGCTTGCCCTTGCCTTTGGTTTTAGTTGCCTTTCTTTTGCCACTTTTCACTTGATATGGTCTCTTCACGGATTCTGTTCCAGTTAGATCATCCCATCCACCAAAATTCGGTGCATATTTGTCACCTTTGTTTACTGAACCATTATCTGTGGCCATCCGCGATTGATACCCTTTCCCATCTCTGCTGTCCCGGTCATCTACTTGCACTTCTCTCTCCATTTGATTGTTTTTTACAGTGTTGGAAGACGTTTTTCTTCGCTTCCGGGCCCTGCGCTTTTGCTTCTTTTTAGTCCCTCCTGACAACTTTTCAAATGCCAGAGAAAATATAGATTGTCCAACGGGAAATGCCAAAGCCATAAGGAGAGCTTTTGGGCCTGTAGCAAGCAGTGAGGAGATAAAAATGGCTGGAAACAACAAACCATAAGATTTGAAGACCTGCATAGACAAAAGTGGAACAGTTCACATTTACAAATCTTATCTTAGGCGATAAACCAACACTTATAAAAGAACAAAAGTAACAACCCAGAAACTGATATCTAGGAGGCAAACCAGAGTAAGGACACCATCGGGCTGAAATATACCCCCTAAACTGCACACTGTAAATCTTGTTCAGAATTTATATAACGTATCCATGTTACTTGATATGGAAATGCTTAGTGTTATATCCCATAGAAACAAATGCCAGTGGCTACTGGAAGATTGTTATGGAAGAGCAAAAGGTGCCTCAAAGGTTAAAGAGATCATGATGCTATCATAAAGAAGCCAGCAAAAGCACATAGCTGAGTTTTAACCGCTAACTTCAAAACCACGATTTGGGGGTTAATTTCAAGAGTTCAAACTTCAGGAACAGCTAAGCACTAACCTTTCATTGCAGAACAGGAAAAAAAAAAAGAAAATGGAGTCAAAATGCTATCCAAAGAGGGTGCTAAAACTAATATCTAAATTATCGTGAAGATTAACACTAACTGAACATTCAATATTAAAATTTCAATGGCTTAAACCCTGTGCGCTAAAACTAATTTCTGAATTATCGTGAAGATTAACACTAACTGAACATTCAATATTAAAATTTCAA